GTTGAATATGTTGATAATAATAGGGAGATCAAATTATTTTTCTTTATATATTGTATAGTGTCCAATAATGTTCCACATAATTTGTTGTGTTTTTAATCATGATTTTTTTTTCATATAGATTTGACTTTTTTTTTGTTGATTATTAATTATACTTGATATTTCTATATTATACAACAATCTGTCATTACATATAATGCCTTGTCAATCTTCATTCTTTGACTTTGCCAATTTCCGTTTAATATGACTTTTCTGTTGCTGAAAGTATGGTTTTTATGCCTTAAAATATTGATGTTTTGGATATGTTTTGATGCTATAATCATGCAAAAATTTGGACCGCCACTTTTTTCTTAAAGAGAAATTGTTTAGTGAAAATTAATCATATTTATAATTATAATTGTGAAATAATATTTTTTTCACGCCAACAATTTTTTTTTAATAAAAATATGAGACAATTTATTCAACACACTTTTTAATTTATAAAACAGAATGTTGATTGCGATAATCAAATCTGCAGAAATCATGCATTTTATTGAATAGTAGTAATATAAAATATTTTATTATTACTACCAAATGGAAAGTCAAAGATAGTCAATTTTGCACTATTAATTATGATCCTATGACTTTTTTTTATACATATGTTTTTTCAATGAACTTTTAAATGATAATATTGACAATATAGACTTTGCTATAATAATTATATAGACTGTTAATTTATTTATTTACTTCATAACTTTTTTTAATTCATCTTATTATGCGTATAGTCTAACTTTATAAATTATATGTCATTTAAATGTATATATACTACTAATTTATAAAGTTTTACCATTTGGGGGAGCTAAATTTTATTTTAATGAAACTAATCTTTCTTATCATTTTGCAGCTATATGTTTGATGGAGCATAGCTGGAAATTAAATTACAAAAAAAAAAAATATATTTTTTATTGTAATGTAACATGATCTGTATTATAATGTTTGTATTTATTACATTTATTAATATTTTTTATAACTTTAATTGCTTATTCAATTTATAACTAATTTGGTTTAACTAAAAGAAACCTTCTTAAATGTGGGATTCATGAGTAATTAATTAAAAAAAATGTAACCTCTTTTGGAGGGAAAGTGAAATGTTTTTATTGAATGTTTTATTAAATAGGATTAGCTAGTAATTATATATATATAGATATGTAGTGAAAAATTATGCATACTATTTTAAGTAAATGACAAACATTTTTATATATGTATAAATGCACGAATTTTAACCCAAAACACAGTTACACTAATTAGATGTAATGTTTCTCTAATAATTTAATTTATAAATATGTATGAAATGATTCAGAAACTCAACCAATGCTCAATTAATGTGTTGTTCTGTTTCAGCATTAATTGAAATTTGTTAAGCGAATACTCCACAAAGTATTGTGTTTTGAAAATGAAGTAGGCTCGATTCCAGATTAGTCGGTTTCCATGTGGATCCAGAAAACGGAAGGTTCCTCTACCAACAAAAAAAAAACAAAAAAAATGAAATATATGACTCGATTCATGTATCTGCGTCTATGACTCTATGTGATACAATTCATACGTTTTTTTGTGTTATATATATTTCTTACAAAAATAATAAAATGGGAAGATGCTATAATTTCGTTATAGAACCATTATGTCGGGATTTGTAACCGTTAGATCAACTATCCCCGACAATTAAGTGATATCAAACGGTTATAAGCCACGACGAAATGGTTCCGATTCCCCCAATAAAATGAATTTCGTTGAAAGTAGTAGAAATTGTCTGCAAATGAGTCAAGGCCCCACAACACGAATTGGTCATACAAAAACAATCGGTCAACGGTTTTGATTTGCATTGTAAAAAACCATGTACTCTCTAACAGAATCTACACAAAAAGGGCCAAAACCATTTTTCACAAAACCAGCTACTGCCACGTCACGCATACCCAAAATAAAAATAAAAAAAAAAATCACCTTAATATTTTCCATCTATAAATTATTAAATACCTTCTCATTTTTTTTCTCATTATTCTCATCCTTCTGCAAACTCTACAATTAGAGTGTTCTTTTGCAGGTTTGGACATAATCATAATATAAATAATATATTTTTTTTATTCCATTATTTGCATGTGACATTTTTTCCTTAATTTTATTTTTTTTTCCCCAATTTGTGACAGTTAAATTATCTTAATTTTTCCGAGGGATCGATGATGTCTCCAGCAGTGGTGCTATCAAGTCAATTCCCGAAAAATGGGAGCTACGAATCCCAAGAAAGACTATTACAAAAGGGAGTCAAACACATGTACGAAAACGGGATTGACCGCGTCCCGAGCAAGTACGTGTTGCCCGTTGCCGACCGTCCTAACATAATTCCACACAACACGGCCTGCCCGGAGCTTGACCTCGAGCTGCCCGTGATTGACTTCGCCGAGTTGCTAGGCCCAAATAGGGCCCAAGTCCTCAAGTCCCTGTCCTACGCCTGTGAGAACTACGGGTTCTTTCAGGTATAACGAATAAAGAAATGAAATTATATAACTAAACAAACGATAGTCATGCTGACGAGTCGTGTTGTTACAATTTTACAGCTGGTGAACCACGAAATACCGGAGGAGATTATAGGCGGAATGGTGGACGTGAGTAGGAGATTTTTCGAGATGCCACTCTCGGAAAGAGAGAAGTACATGTCGGCCGATATGAGCTCGCCGGTTAGATATGGGACGAGTTTCAATCAAAAGAACGATGGTGTGTACAGTTGGAGGGACTTTCTCAAGCTCGTTTGCCATCCTCTACCCGACGTGCTTCCTCATTGGCCGTCTTCTCCGCCCAACTTCAAGTAAGAGTTCGCATGATAATCGAACAAATTAACTTAATTTGTCACTATTTTTGTGTTCTAACTAAATTAAATTGCTTTAAATAGCATCACCAATATTAATTTTAGATTATATCAGTTACTTATAAAAATGTGTATATTTATTAATAAAAAAAAAATGTAACTTCACAATGGTTATGCAATGACAAACAACCATAAAATTGTCTAATTATATATATTGATCCTTTTGTTGGAGAAAAGGGTAATATGGGAAAATGTTTACAGTTAGGCCCATTCACGACAGTTCTTGCCACATATTATATCTTATATCTACCACACACAAAATAAATCCAAAACAAGCATATTTTTGCATTCACGTGACACAATATATAAATAATGTACCTTACATTATTTCTAATAATGTTAATGCATTTCAAAACAGGCAACTGGTTGTTAGCTACGCAAAAGAGACAAAATCTTTGTTCCTAATGCTGGTGGAGGCCATCCTGGAAAGTCTAGGCTTCAAAAACACCGAAATAAGGACAAAAACATCGAAACCGAAAAATGACAACGATGAAAATAAGACACTGAAAGAACTCGAAAATGGAAGTCAACTAATGGTTGTCAACTGCTACCCGCCGTGCCCGCAACCGGACTTGACTTTGGGCATGCCGCCGCACTCGGATTACGGGTTTTTAACGCTACTTCTTCAGGATCGGGTCAAGGGGCTGCAGATCCAACACCGGGATGAATGGGTCACGGTTCAGCCCATACCCGGATCATTCGTTGTCAATGTTGGAGACCACCTAGAGGTATTTGTTTTTTTATATATATATGCGTACAAGTAAATGTGTTTTATATCAAATTATAACATTATATATGAAAAATAATTTTGATGCTTTATATCAAATTTTAAATGATATACGCTTTCGACTATTTATACTTGCGTTTCTTTTACCCAGATATTTAGCAATGGGAGGTACAAGAGCGTGCTACATAGAGTTCTCGTAAATTCGACGAATTATAGGATATCAGTGGCTTCACTGCACAGTTTCCCTTTCACAAGCACTGTTCGACCAGCGGACGAGCTTGTCACGGACACTAATCCGAGGCGTTATAAAGACACAGATTTTGCTAGTTTCCTCAGTTACCTCAAATCTTGTGACTCCATCAAAAAGAATTTCCTCGAGTCCAGAAAACTGCACTATTAGTTATCAAGTAACAAAAAGTATTAAGACATATATGAATGTCATCATTTTAAATGTATGCCAACTTTTTTCCGTCAATTATGGCTAATAATTGTAATTTGTACCATCAAATTATGCAGAATTAAATTGGTTGGCATAAGAAGTATTTAAATGTGTTAAGATCAAACGGAAGCCATTGAAGAGTGATTGTAAATGAAGAAGGTTCGAAATCACAGTACTCGAACTTAGTTGAATGATTTTCATACAAGAGAGAGAATGATTTTTATACAAGAGAGAGAAGGCTCTCAGCTCAGTTTCCCTTAGCTAATTACAGTTGTCACTAACTCCAATACACCGCCTTGAAACTAAGCATTGGAGCTTTCGACACGAATAGGCAGCTTGGAACATAGCAAATGAAACCGGCTTGGACGCAAAGGCTTGGTTAGTAAGTCAGAAAGCTTTGGTAGTGGGCATATCACCTTCTTTGGAAACCACTTTTTTCTCTACATCACTTCCATTATGTTTGGTATGGGCATGATGAACTGGATTTGAAGCAAGAGTAGCTGCACTTACATTATCACACCGCAAGATAGAAGGTAATTCAAAGAACATACCAAGTTAATGAAATAACGACTGCATCCATAAAAGATCAGTATTGGTTGTAGCTAAACTTCTATACTCTGATTCAACACTATTCTTAGATCAGATTTGTTGTTTCTTGGAGCTGAGAAGATTAGGTCATAAGAAAATGAAACGATCACCAGTGGACCTTCTATCATTCACACAACTTGCACAATTAGAATCAGTATTGTAGGCCTCGAAAACAAACCTTCTAACACGTTGGAGAAGCAAACCAACAGAAAGAGTCCATTTGATATATCTGAAAAGATGTTTGCTTGCAAGCCAATGAAATGAAGTAGGAGCATACAAGAACTTACTTAGCTTATTAACAACAAAAGATATACTTGGTCTTTTCATAGTAAGATATTTCAAGGCCACAATAACACTCTCATACAGTGAAGGATTGCAGAAGGAAGCACTATAATCACGATGATGTTTATATGCAATAGAAATAGAAGTTGAAACCTGTTGTAATATCACTTGTGAGGTGTCCCACAATGATTCTATAAGAAAAATGAGCATACTATATAAGCCTAGTGGGCTACTCCTCTCATCACCAACTGGTTTTGGGATGAAACCTCAGTAAGGTGCATCTAGACTCGCCCTTTTATGGTGCACTTCATCTGCGTGGGATCGCAACCTCTTCCCCCATTCTATAAATCTAATATGGTACCAGAGCGGGCCCATCTCTCTACTCGGCCTGCTCTGTGGGCTTGGGCTTATGAAGGACTCACAAGCATTGATTCTATATGGAAAATGAGCCAAGTATATAAGACATGCTTTAAGCTTGGACTTATCTCTCTACTCGGCCTGCTCTGTGGGCTTGGACTTACGAAGGACTCACAAGCATTGATTCTACATGGAAAATGAGCCAAATATATAAGCCTAGTGGACTACTCCTCTCATCACCAATTGGTTTTGGGATGGAACCTTACTAAGTTCCATCTATGTTTGCTCTCTTATGGTGCACTTCATCTATGTGACACCGCACCCTCTTCCCCCATTCTATAAATCTATTAAACCGGCCTTTAGTTTTAGCATTGGCTTTCACAATTAAATCAAGAGCATACTTGGACACGTTGAGCACAAAACCATCAACAGTTTTCAAGGCCACAAAATCAATAAAATGATTCACCTCACCTAAAGTCTCCAAGGATATTTTTTTTTTTTTTTTCCTATGAGACTGAATAAGATTATGAACTTAGGTTGGATTATCACCAGTAATGAGAATGTCTTCTCATATATTAACACGAGCAACAACTCGCCATTTTGCCTTTGATAAAAAAAAGAGAAGAGTCAGAAATAGATTCCTTAAAGTGTAGACATAACAAAAATCCTTTAATTTTTGTGAACCAGGCTCTAGGAGCCTAACTAAGACAATAAAAGGGACTTAGTCAATTTGAAGACAGATTATGGATGCCTAAAATAAACAAAGCTCTCTGGTTAAAACATAAATACAGTGCGTGCATATTCTCCTTGTATGCACTGGGATTTATTCTGTACTCTGCTAAAATTACTCAACAACTAGCAACATTAATTTTTTCAAAATAGATTAGTTTAAGTAGCGACACGTACGTTTGGCCTGCTCACATTACTCTAGAATCGGACGACCCTTATTTTATTACATATGAAACGAAAAAAAATTACAATTACAAATTAATGTCTCAGATCTAATAATTAAATTCTTTGAAAAAAGTGATTATCTAACCATTAAGTCGTCTAGTAGTAGCATTTATGATACTCTATATATTATTAGATAGATATTTATTATTATTATTAATATTATTTTTCTTTATATATTTTTTTTTGGAGGTTGG